TAAGGCCGGAACGCGTGAAACGGTATCTATGCGGAGTTTGATTGCGTAGTGTTGACCATAGCTTTTCACTTTCTTCTCCCTCCTTCAAAGTAGGTTCAACGTGTGTCCACCTTAAATATCACCATCAACCTTGTACGCATTGCTAGTTTGGCAGCGACCAATGAAGTTCGCCTCACTATATTTCGCTGTACGATGATCATGATGATGCTAATGATGAGGGTATGTAGTCAACTGAAGATAAGTTAAAGAAAACGTTCTCCGTTTTTTGCTTCAGCGGACCTAGTAGCTGAAATAAGATAAAAATTCTACGAGTGATTTATTAGTCAGCGCAGATTACCAGACAATTTATTCCACTCTGACGATATTCATCGAAATCCACAGACATGCATAGAGTATCTGACATCTAACCAGTGATTAACAGCAGCTGCGCCAAGAACCAAGGAACCATTGACTGAACTTGACCATGTATAAGTTCATTAAAGAAATTAAAATGAGTGGATACTTCTGAGTAAGCAATAGCCAATTAAGCTGAGAAAAATTTCAACAAGTAAAAGGTAAATGAGATGTACATTTGGGGGCAGGAGGCTCACGTTGCCGAAAAAGGACTATGGGGGGTTGATTACCTGTACGTCACCTTTCAATCGAATTTCAAGTTGGTCCAACTTACACTAATCTGTATGTGCGTTAACAGTTGCTTGAGAAAGTCTTGCCTTTCTGTTAACACCTACGACCTAGTATACAAGTAATAACCTAACCTAACCACATATGAGAATTAAATAAAACCTTCAAAGTGAGCAATGCTGGGCTAATTCACTGTAGATAGAACAACTTTGATCACGCAGGGTGATGTCAAAGACGCAGTCATCATAAAACGGGTCGATCGCCAAATAGACTCACAATAGCAATTAAAAGAATTTAGCACGGTTCTGTCAGTTCACAGAGAGCAACTTTAATGATATCACCATATTGGTTTAATAAGTAACCAAACTCAAAGGTGAATGGTTCTAAGCTGAATATTAGTTGAAACAACAAATGATTGAAGTCAGTCCTCAGAATACTACATCGAACGTTTGTGCGCACTTACCTGCAGAACAACTGTTGCCATCAGGATGAAAACTCCAATATTAACATGGAACCGACTGAGTACTAGACCACTGCCAGCAAATTGTGTGATTATGTTTATAAGGATAAACAGTCCGGCCAGAAATACCGGAGAGTGCCAAACCGCCTTGATGTAATCAATTTGCTCGGACCATTGAGTTGTTAGGCGGAAGCCATCTTCGATGAAGGTGGAAACAAGGCACAATCGGGAGAAGTGGGGCAAGTATCGCCGGGTTTTCCTGATTAACTAAATTTGAAAAACATAAAAAGCTTATAAGTTACAGCCAAGTACAGCGATTGTTTCGCACGAATAATACAACAATTAAACCTCACCCAATCCGCATAATCTTCTAGTTTGTCTATTAACTCATGACTAGCTCGCCCACGTTGTAGAATATCAGCCATTCCTACTGCAAAAGATGACGTTGCACCCTCGATTTTTCAAATGTGGCGCGATTACGCAGATCAGGTCAGCTCAGTTCAGTTCAGTTAAGTTTGCACAGGACAGGAAACGACTACGGCCAATCGAGCGTCCGGAGTTCTTTCTGTGATACGCCCAGGTTCGGCACCCACCACTGTTTCGAGTAATCCGTCAGTTATCTTGCGAAAAAAGAAAGGAACAAACAAGGACAGGACAGGACAGATCACAGGACTTCACGGGGATTCACGGGGATTCACGGGGATTGACGGGCTTGGGAACCGAAGTTTTCGAG